CACACACACACACACACACGTACATATATAATAATTTCACACCCTCATCAGCATAACAAAAAACTTTACCCACTCAAACATCATCTTGTATAAATATATATTATGTAGTTTCATACCTTTTCTGCAAAGTAACTTTTATCATTCCAGCAAATAAATTAACCGAGTCAGCATTTTTATAATCGCTGGCCAAGTTATTCCACAATCTTATTTCGTGAACTGAGGTACATCTGTCCTTCAAGTTTATTTGAATTTTGGGTTTTACAAACATTCAAATCCTTTTAAATTATAACAACTTTCCCTCTTAACAAAATTAGATTGAATATTCAGAGGCATTATATTTTTATGAGCCCTATTCATAGTCAATAGAATCTTATAATCAACCAACTCATACAATTTTAATTATTTCAATTGATGAAACAATATATTTGATGGGTGACTATAATGTTTTCTGTTAATAATTCTTATAGATCTTTTTTGCAAAATAAAAATAGAATTTGTAAATGTTTTACATGCCTTACCCCAAACTTCAACACAATAAATCAAATGTGGAACTTTTCTTTCTGAGCTGACTCTACAACCTTGGCTTCACCTTATTCAAGAAGTTTTCAGGCTTTACAGAGTTTGCTTTAAATTGTGTGGCTCAAATACTTCAGATGACATTCAGGTTTTCTTGTTACGAAAGCAGAAAGATTTTCCAAGAGAAAATTTCACTTTCGCCGAAGCTTTTTTTTTTTTTTTTTTAGCTATCTTACTTCTGCACCAGATGTGGAACTGGGCACAAACAACAAAGACATGACGTGGTTTCAGTCCTAAACATTTGTTTCACTTTCATCCCTAATCTTCACTCATGCATTTTTTTAGCATCAGTCTCAAAAAAAAAAAAAAAAAAAAAAAGAACCAACCCAAATTGGGTTCTGGTTATTTCCATCCACAAAGGTTACATTTTAGGAATCCAATAATGACAAAGCTTATATGTTTTATTATAGGGTTTAGGAGCAACTGTGCCAAGTCAGAAATTGTATGCCATTTCCAGTAACCCGTGTGGCTAGGCAGATGTCCCAGCTTTTCACCAGCTTTGAATGCAGCGTATATTTGTAAATCTGGAGCAATCTGATTCATGTTGACTAATTTGTCTGCAGCAGGCAACTTCTGCACGCACATTTGACAATTTGTATGCATATTTCTACTCGTGCAGTTTGAAATGTGTACAAATGTGTACACTATTTGTGGATCGCGCCATAAAAAGAGCGTGCGCATTTCTTGTCGAAACATTTCAGTAAAGCGGGACATGCTTTTCATCTTCCAGCCAGTAACGTGGAGGTGTTGATGTCAGGAAGCACTCGGTGTTACAGAGCGGTCCTTGCTGCCATGGATGCCTTCCCTGAGGTGGAGGAGCTGCATGAAACGGCCTGCTGCCTGCTCAGGAGGTTCACATCAGGTCAGAACGTTCAGTCGAATATTCATCACCTCTTCTGTTAATGAAGCTCTTTTAGTTTTATTTGTTAGACAACTGGATGCTTCTGTCATATCATATGTACTAAAATAAGACATTTCAAGTTAAAGGATTGTAGTACAGATAAGTGGTATATTTAGAAGACAACCGTAATATAAAGAAAGTGTAGAACTGGACTTAAAATAAAGACATAGCATTCCTGGAACAAATGCATGGTTATCAGCTACAACCACAAGATTTAGCTCAATATCTGTAAAATTGGCAAAGTTAAAACCACTTTTATTTTACAGTATAAACAAACACACACACACACACACACACACACACACACACACACACACACACACACACACACACACACACAC